ACTTCAACATAAACAAACATCAAATCCTACTCACGAGAAAATTCATGGCGGTAGCCTTATCCGACAGCGAGTGTTAATATGCAACCAAAGATACATTGGTAAAGCCAAAAAACAACTCTTTCAACTCGATCAAACCCTAAGCTTGAACCTTGAGTCTCTATCCAGTATACCCGGGGGCATCATACTAGTTTAGAAAGATGACTAAATTTCGATGGGGAGAATAAGATGGATATCTAGTTTAGAAAGATGGATAATCAGTTTATTTTAGATTAAGATTCTTGCATTGCATATATCTCTTGATCCGTAAAGAATTAGAATACGAATTATACATGAAATTTATAGTACTCAACGAAATCTATCCGATAAGATCCATGTTGAATATTTTTTTGAACTTTAAATACATTTAAATTTTACGGACAGAAATGAAGAAATGTGTTTTTCGTTTTTCTTTGAAAAATGGTTATCCGTTATGTTCCTACTGATTATCCAACCGATTTGGACTGATTATCCATTCTGTTTGTACTTGTTATCCAATCATATTTTTGACATTCACTCTTCAAAAAAAAAAAGAAAGAAAAAAAATGATTGGATAAGCATTGCAAACAATTTGGATAATCAATAGAAAATAATTGGATAATCAGTACAAAAAAGTTTGACAATCATTTTCATAAAAGAGCAAGAAAAAAAATACTGGATAATCACCACAAAGAAGTTGGATAATCAATATGAACACATTGGATATCCAGTTTAAGAAAATGGATACCCAACTTATTTTACATTCATATTGTTGTGTTCCTTATATCTTTTGATCCGTAAAGAATTATAACACGAATTATATATGAAATTTATAGTACTCGACGAGATCTATCCGATAAGATCAATTTTGAATATTTTTTTGAACTTTAAATGTATTTAAATCTTACGGGCAGAAATGAATAAACTGAAAAATGAGTATCCGTTGTGTTCATACTGATTATCCAACCGGTTTGGACTAATTACCTATTTTGTTTTATCCAATCATATTTTTTACATTCACTTTTCAAAAAATAAAAAAAGAAAAAAGAAGATGGATAACCAACTTAGTTTAGATTGATATTCTTATATTACATATATTTCTTGATCCGTAAAAAATTAGCACATGAATTAATTGGATAAGCATTATTAATTAATTGGATAATCAGTATTAACACATTGAGCAATGATTTTTTTAAAAAAATGACATAACCAGTACAAACGAAATGGATAATCAGTTCAAATCGGTCGGATAATCAGTATGAACACAATGGATAACCATTTTAAGAAAAAAGTAGGTTGGATAAGTAGTACCAATTAGTTGGATAAAAAGGACAAACATATCGGACACGTATTTTCATAAAAACTAAAAAAAATAGATGGAAAAATAATAGCACATGGTTGGATAATCAGTACGAACACATTGGACAAGTATTTTCTCAAAAGAAAAAAAAATGATTGGACGAACAATACAAACTTATTTAGCCCAGCAGTAAAAATAATTAGATAACCAATACAAAGCGATTGGATAATCACTACAAACACATTAGATAGCCGTGTTTCAAAGAAAAAAAAGATGAGATAAGCGGTATAAACAAAATGGATAACCAGTATTAGCGTATTGGACAATGATTTTTTTCAAACAAAAAGAAAATGATTGGATAACCAGTACAAATAATTTGGATAGGCATATAAATCCGTTGGATAACCAGTACACATGAGTTGAATAGGCATACAAACCAAATGGATGTCCATTAGAAATAAGTTGGGTATGCATACAAACCCATTGGATTACAACTACAAAACAAGTTGGATAGGCATATAAACCAAATGGATATCCAGTACAAATAAGTTGGATAACCAGTACAAACAAGTTGGATATACATACAAACCCATTGGATTACAACTATAAAACAAGTTGGATAGACATACAAGTCAAATGGATAAACAGTACAAACAAAATAGATAACTAGTTCAAACCAGTTGGATAATCAGCACGAACACAATGGATAACCAATTTAAAATAACTTGGTTATCCATCTTGTAAAACTGGATATCCACCATCATTCTGCCCATCAGAATTTAATCATTTTTAAGCCTGGAAAAAATATTCACTATGGATCTTGTTGGATAGATCTCGACGAGAACAATAAATTTCATGTGTAACACGTTTTCTAATTCTTCACGGATTGAGAGATATGTTCATTTGAAGATTAGAGTTTTTTTTGGAAGAGAGAGAAAAATTTGACAGGGACTAAACTTACAAATTATAGGAAGATTATTAGAAAAAAGTAAAAAAAAGTACAATATGGACTAGTAGTGCAAAAAATAGGAGGGAGAGTATAGTGCCCCCGGGTGCACCCAATAAATTGTCTTGAACCTTTCTATAGTGCCCATTTCAAGATCAAGATGAATATCCGAGTTTAGTTCAATTGCCGTCATAGGCCCCAACTTAAAAGGGAACCATGCGTGAAGTTAACCTAAATGCAACTTATAATATTGCATTTGAGGTTTACGCTAAGCAAAAACAAATGTGTGGCTGCGCCGCCGCATATGTTTACAATTGGACAAAAAGGTAAATCACAAAAACTGCTATTGCAAAGAGAGTTGAGTAAAGCCAAAGGTATACACATCTGGAGTTGAGAATTCTTACAAAACGTATTTTTGTTTCCTTACACATTTACCTACAAACAATATTTGAACGGCAAAATTGACAAGTTTTACTAGCATTCTTACTAGTCTTTTAATTTTCTTTTCTTACTAAATAAACTAGTATATATTATTGTCGTGCGCTGCACGGCGAGTTTAGATGATATTAAGTCTCTATGAAAGGTTTTGTATAAATAGCCCTTGAACATTATTGATGATGTAATTTTATATGAAAATCTCAACTACAGCGCAATCAAAATCATTGCTAAGGTATAACAAATTATTTTCCATTAAGATGTGTTTAAAAAAGAATGGTAAAAAAGAAAACTTTTGATTCAAAGAACACTAAAGCTCATGTCCAGCTTTTAGAAGAAATTGCACCTACAATATTTATTGAAAATGAAGAGAATTAAAAATTTTCATCTAATAATACCACTGTTTCAATCTCATGGATTGAATCAATAATAAGTTTTTAATCAAATTTTACGTCGAATAAAACTCATCTAACGTTTGTAAAACAACCACAAGAAAATGAAATGATTGGTGGTAGCAGAAACCGAAAACAATAATCAATAGATTAGTTAACTTTTAATAAATAATAAACTCAATTTGAAATCAACTCTTTAACCATAAGAATGATCAAAATAAAATAAAAATATAGTGATAGGCTCACATCTCTTTTTAAGTCTCTCAATTTCCCACCTAGGACCCAAGAAATTAAGCCACAAACTCAAACACTGGTAATCTAAAATTAATTAAAACATCAAAAACAAAAAGAATGTGAACAAAATTGTTCAAATGTGCTCAAGTGTGCTCATTGCATATTTACTGAACATTGCCAATGGATTAAACATGTCACAAAATTATCCAAAAACAAGATGTTACAAAAAGATCCAATACATTTCTATATTTCAGTGAAAAATATCAACATCATCAGGTTAAAAACAAATTTTAGGCAGAGGTTATTCACAAGCAATAACAATTGTATTGGGAAAAAAAAAAATGAGATTGAAACAAAAAAAAAAAAATGTGAGAGTGAATTTGAATCAGGCCAACTATCCACTGGTTTTCTAGTGCTTATCCAACGTCTTTGTATTGACTATCAAATACAATACTTTCTTCATTTCTGTTCAGAGTATTTTGATTAATTTTATTTTTTGAAAAAAAAATCAATGTTGATCTTATCGAATAAATCTCGTCGAGTACTACAAATTTCATATATAATTTGTTTTCTAATTCTTTACGAATTGAGAGATATAAATAACATAACAATATTAATATAAAATAAATTGGTTATCCATCTTTTTAAACTGGATATCTATCTTAATTCTGCCCATCGAAATTTGATCATTTTTAAGTTCGAAAAAAATATTCGATATGGATCTTGTTGGATAGATCTCGACGAATACAATAGATTTCATTGTAACATGTTTTATAATTCTTCACGGATTCGGAGATATGCTCGTTTATAGATTAGAGAATGTTTTTTTTTTTTAGGAAAAAGAAAAAAAAAAGTGACAGGGACTAAACTTGCAAAAAATAGTAGGTTATTTAGAGAAGAGAGAAAAAAAGGTAATAATTAAGGATTAGTAGTGCAAAAAATAAGAGGGGGTGTACCATGATAGTGGGAGCAACTAATAATTTACCGAATTTAAGGAAACAAAATATCTATTCATATGAGGAACTATATATGATGAGAATGCTATAATGGGTTGTTGAACAAATACATGAAATGATGAGTAATTGACAAAAGCTTATACTTTTTTCTTGATTTGTGGAAATTAATATTAGGTATACGAACACACTATTCTCAGCTTCCCCTAATTCTCGATCTGGTACCTTCGAATCTGTCCTCCCAGTTTAACTCTCGATCTGATACCCTCGAACCTGTCCTCCCAGTTTATTGTTCGCATCACTGTGTGATGAAGGATGATGTGCTATCAATCAAGAAAATATATGTAAAAATTGTTTCAAGGGTCGTTATAGCTGGCTCAAAGGCCAGATGGTTTGCAATGGTTGGAGGATCTGTCACCATGAGTTTCTTAGATTAAACATGATACTAAGGTGTTGCTATCCCCAAAATTTAATGATCTAATTTTTCAAAGCATTTTTAACTTCTTAATGTACCAAAAAACGAACATAAAATGATTGTTTCAGGAGATACATGCAATTGACTGCCCAAATGAAACAATGTGCTAAGGAAAGACGAGAAATAAAGACAATATAATTTGATAAGACATACCAAATTTGACCGTCTGAAGCACCTAAAGCCGTAGTGTCTACAAAGCTTAACTACAAAACAACAAGAATATGTATATTAAAAATTTCAAAGTTCGAAATCACTCGAAAGCCCAGGCATTCTCCCTGCGGATCTCCTCTTCTTCCTCAGGGGTTAAATCGTTCGTAATGTTGAACGTCTTGCGGATCTCTTCCGGTGTCTTCCCCTTTATCATCTCTGCCACGGTCTGGCAAGTGAGATCAAGAAGGCTCTTTATGTTCAAATAGTTCGCAGCCAAGATGAGATCGAAGAGAGTGCCCTGATCAACTTTTACAAAGTCGGCGTCGAAAGACTTCAGATCTTCATCGGAGGTCTTCTCGAAAGCACCCTCGGCGGCCTTGGCAGCTTCGACGTGTCGCTTGCAGTACTCAATCACTTTAGCAAGAATCTTGCTGGTGACGTTGGGGAGAGGGATGGCGTTGTCGGCGCAATCATCCTCAATCATGTGCTTGATCGTCTGCGATTCGAGTGCCACCGCTTCCTCCACCTCGAAGCTCTCCCCATCCGAGCTCTTCAACTGGATGATCTTAGATGCCGACATGCTGCCTGATTGTTTTTTTTGAAGAAAGGCTGCTACTATGTAAATTTAACGCTCCCGGAAAGACAGAAACCCTAGCCCTAGAAGATGAGAAACAGAATTTGGATTGCTCGTAAAGTTATGAAAAAGTACAACCCCTATTTATAATAGAAGAACAACGTCGCCTTAAACCGAAAACTAATTGGAACCTAATTGGGAATTTCAGCAACTAAGTCCTTGACTCTTATTACAATTGGAAATCAAATTTATTTCCTATTAAAACTTATATATTTGTCTAAGACGAAAATAATTAAATATAACAACTGAAACTAATACTATAATAAACCCTTTTCGTATAGGCCCCTCATTGAATTTTAAGTGTATTTGATTCTTTTACATATTTGTAGGGTGTCCACCATCAACAACAGTTCTCGCTGAATTGTGGGCACCTGGATAGGTAAGACTGTATTTGATTCTTTTAGACTCAATCCTAGCGAAGTTTTTATTCCCAAGCTTATATTATGAAAAGGGCCAGACGAGTACTCAATTAATATAAGCTACTATTGAACGTGTGATTTGTGAAATTAAGATTAACCAGTCTTTTACGTGTCGTGCGTTGCGCGACCAGTACATATATAGATTGTTTCTTTTTTATGGTTTTAGAATTTTTATATACTTCATATTCGGTCAAATTTTTGTTGTTACGTAATAGTGCATATGAATGTGATACTTTATTATTTTTAATTGACTTTTTAGATTTACGAAGTGATTTTTTATCGTGCAGTCTCCCCGCTATTTATTCGTGTATTAGAAAAGAGTTTTTTGGTAGATATATTTGTTGTGAGAGATAGAGAAATCTTTGCATTTGGCAGTGGACGATTGTAAGAGGAGAAAACGAAAATAAAAATAAGGCAGTTCATAAATCAAGTTATTTTAGTGGAGGATATGTGATGATTTTGGCTTGAATAAGAAAATCAAGAGATATTAGCAAGAATAAGTAAATATGGCAGATTTAATTCTGTAATTGTCAATCTAAGATCTGCTATGTTTCCTAAATTGATTGTCAATTTGATTATTATAAAAATTTAATAATGCTTGTTCTATGGGAAGTTTTTATTATAACCTTACAACCAATTATATTAAATCTTTGAACTATAATCAATTATTTTAAAGAGGTTCCATATTCGTGTGTTGCACAATCAATTTGTATTTTTAATATATTATATGTAGATGTCAATATTGACAAATATTTATGATGAAATGTATTTTGTACTTAATATAATCTCTGAAACTTCAACCCACAAAACGTTAGTATTGAAATTAAGACCTTAAACGCAAACCATATTTTGTCTAGTATACAATATGCATGGTTCACTTTTACAAATCAGATTTACATTTGCAAGTGAATACGCAACAATTTTTCATTAAGTATTTTAGTTGGCAACAATTATAATAATTTACAATATGTTACCCCAACTTAGTTCTTTAGAGATTCAGAATGATCATATTTGTTTCCGTCCACTGGTGTAAGTGAATAGTCAATTAGGGAAAAATTTACAATTTTCTTTTTCTTGACGCATGTACAAATTAGAAGCTTGACATTATAGTATTATGGTTGTTCCTTGTAAATTTGATAGTCCACATGTGATAGGAAGCATTTGCCAAAATGTAGTAAGCATTTGCCAAAATTTTGTAAACGAAAAAAGGAGAAAAAAAACAAAGAAAAGCTTCAAATGGATGCATGGGGAAATGGTGTAGATAAATGGAAAAAAAAAGGAAAAAAAGAAACACACATGCACAAACACAAAACAAAAAGATGAAATATCAGTCACAGTTTTTCCCTCGCTAAGTCTTAGGTCAGATTTCACCGCGTCCAAATTCTTGACCCTGTCAACATTTCCACGCATGTTTTTTTGTTTGAAGTTCGTTTCTCATCTTCATGTAGCTACAAGAACCTTGTCATTTATTTTGGACAGGTCTACACTTGGGGATTGTACCTAAAAGCCATTTCCAAAGGATGCAATTGAGAAAATTACAAAAAGTTGTCAATCATGTACATGCCATTTTGATTCCTTCAAGGCTCAAAAACTCGATCTCAGGCAGTGGAAACAACAGGAAGTTACACTCTAGCGGATTCTGTATTCAAAAGTGCAAAAAAATAAAAAATAAAAAATAAAAAAATCATTGCATTATCAGAGAATTTATAATTTAGCTGCCGCAGCTTTCCTATTACAAAGCAACTCCATCCAACAAACAACATTCGAAACAGAATGTTGCATCTATCAGACAGACATGTGTCTAAAACTGTGATATGCATCACAAATTTTTTGCTGCATCTGAAATTAAAAAGACATGCTTTTAAGTTCTGAGAACTGCTTAGTATACAACGAAGAAATCCTTTGACAATGCTAACTAAAGCCAATCGACGTATCCTCCAACTATTTGGAGCATATGGAACACTTTTTTTTTCTTTTTTTCTACATGTAGTACAAGGAGTTGATCATATGGGAGCAATGATTTCCACGGTTCCAGAAATTGTGATTAAATGAAGTATTTTGCACATGCTTTTTTTGAAGATTCCAATTTTTCCATTTCTTTAGCATCATCGTTGTTACGCAAATTCCATGGTTTTGCAGAATTCCAGCCAGAAAGTTCCAACTACTAATCTAATAATATCCTAGTTTCTGTCCGAGTAATAATCAAATAAAGTATTTCACTAATATAATAATATCCGAGTAAGATCATAAAGCCAATCATATTCAGCCTCCTAGGTTCTGTCCTAGCACCGTATAACCAAAACTGTAATCTAAGGTCATCAATTATCAAAAGGGCTGCATGAATACGCAAAAGTTATTCCAACTCATTAATTTTCACACTTACAATAGAAAGTCCTACTTTCCATGCATAGTGTAAGGAAAAAACAGACAAGACCAAATGTGCTCCCCACAAGCAAATAAGGTGATGTAAATCCACCATTTGGAAACTGAAATAACCTACTGTTTCCTGTCTCAAGTATTTCTTATTCAGTTGGTTAAGCTACACTTTCAATCCTCCTGGAAGCCTCCTGGAAGGAAGCAAATTAATGGGTTGCATACATGCACTTTTCTACTCATGTTGCAATACAGCACTTATTCTGGAGTAAGAGAATCAAGAACCCCAAATTTCCTATATGACACTACCCAAATATGAAAAGAACATCATTACCAGCTGCTACTGAAAAAAGTATTTGCTATAGGGAAAATTCCCTTTTTCCAATGTTGGTTCTAAAAATTCCAACAATTCTTTGTATGAATTAATTAACACCTTTATTCATGTATTCTCTGTTAGGTGATGATGTGAATTGCAGAGAGTTTATGAGCTAGAGATGAAGTGCTCGAGCCAGGGAAAAGGGAAGCCACTTTGTGCGGTACTGATTTTCTAAATAAATTCTATTTCTGGCTTCCCTATTGCTATTGGAGTACATATATTCTTGTTCTTCTTTGGTTTCAGTTGAAAGGAAAACAGTCTATTAGTTTCCAAACCATTAAAATTATCAACAACCTCGCTCAATTAACAACAAATTCGCAACTTCAAAACCGGTAAAAATAAGGGAATCAAAATTAGTACCTGTTTGTAGGATTTGGGAAAGAACCAGAGAAAAATCTTTACAAATATTCAAGCTTCCTCTACCATATAGAGGTAAAAAAAATAATAAAAATTAAAAGGTTAAACAATATTTACCTGAATCAAAGACGAAGAAATCAAAGAAACCGGTAAGCTGAAGAAGGAAGCCTTTTGTGATCCTAGTTGTGAGGTTGTTAGGGGGTTTTTATAGACATGCTAGCTGACAGGGGATTTTTATTCTCATCCCAAAACAAATCTGGAATCAGAGAGGAACTGAATTGCCTATTCATATTACAATTTTAAATTTATGGAAATATATAAATAAACATTAAACAGTAATTTGTTAGTCCTATTACACATACAACTCCAAATCAAATAAAAAGGTAATTTCCTAATCCTATTCCATCCAAACACCTAGCTCCGCCTCTCTTCCTCCGTCATGATGTCCACCGTGATACGATACATGCGGTTGCCCCCCCCACGAATTTGATCTCGTACGAGTGAACGAAGTCATTCTTGCAAAATCTCTTCGATGGGGTGACTCCGGTGGAATTTAGGGTTTTTGTTTTGTTAAATTTGTGGAGGTGGAATCGGGATGGTACGAATTGAAGAAGCATGTTTAAGGAAAATATATCTTCAAGGTTTAGTGGTGGCAGAGGATGCAGAGAGGGAAGCGGCAGTGGTGGCTGAATCGACGAAGGGAAACCTGAGTTGGCGGAGCACTGCCTTATTAGTGGGAAAAAAATTGGGAACAATGACGGGTGCTGTCTTGGGATTTTGAACAGTGTGAGTTATTTTTTGTTTTTTTATTTTTTTCCCTGGAGAAACCCACAAAACGAAGTCGTTTTGTTGCTGTTTTTTAACAAAAAACTTTCAGGTTTTGTAAATATATTGTTTTCAGGAGTGAGAATTCCAAAGTTAAATCCTGAAACGACGTCCTTTTATAGGTTAGAGGTTATTTTTTTCAAAAGGTTACGGGTTTTTTTTTAATTGGAATAAACTGAATTTTTGAATTTTCATTTTTGCCCCCAATACGTCGCTGACATTACATCAACTCCAGCCGACGGACCGAGATCGATTTGACGGTGGTCCTTGAATATTTTTTGGGCATTATTTCTTTTCTACTGTGTCTTTTATTGAAATGATTTATGAAATCCATGTTTTACCCCTAATAAGTCGCTGACATCATATCAACCCCATCCGACGGATGAGATCAATTCGACGGTGGTCCTTGAATATGTCTTGGGCATTATTTCTTGTCTACTGTGCCTTTTATTTAAGTATAAGGATTAAATTCAATGTGGACAACCGAAATTCTTTTCCTTTTTTTTGGAGACAAATATACATATATTGTATTCTCAAACCTGACTGTTCAATTAAAATTAGGAAGTCAGATTTCAAAAATCCGAAGGTTCTAGCCT